GCCCATAGCACAAGCACAAGTTCAGCATTACAGAAAATTGGGCTAACACAAAAACTTCCATCGCATCTACTACCGGCTGGGACGCTGACGCTACTGTTCTGACGCCGTGAGCTTCACGCTTCCTTCCGCCATGGCTGCGAAAGAGCGTTCTGGACTATAGGAACGCGCCTGTCTCCAACGCTACCAGAACGATGATCACTAAATTCGCTCGATGTTTCAAACACTCTTATAGCTCACCTGAACGTCGCTTTGCACTTTCCGACGACGCTGCTTCCATAAACGCTATGGCAACAAAGCAATCAAAAATGAGCCAGCCTTGAAAGGTTCTGGGACTTCCCCATCGATGCCTATACCCAACAAGACGATCCACAAAGGCCAACGCCGCATTCCGACCGACTTGAGCCCGCTCCGACAAACCACGGCAATGCACGAAGCTCTACACCAGTGCACTTTCGAACCACAGCACACGCAGTCGAAAAAACAATACAACACCTATTTACCATTATAGATCCGCCCACATACAAGTGGCTCCGCAGACTGATTGAGCGCCTTGCTCCCACGCTCGGACTGCAAAAAGATTGAACGTGCACGCGATGTGTTCGGCAAGTGACGCGGCAGGGATTACTCCTCCCAGGGAGAAGCTGCCACTGGAATCATAGCTTCAAGCTTTCGGATCTCCTGAAGAGATTGCTTTCAACGAGAATGGGCAAGATGTGCAAAAGATCGTGTGCGACTTGCGTAACCGATACGAACTCCCACCCAACCATCACACGTGCCGATGCTTGCTGTTTCGAGCAGGCAACGCCATGTATCACTCAAGATGCCTTGGCCCACGCTGGCACAACAGAAAACGGGCACAGCATTGCACATGTTTGTTGACCACGCACGCAGAAGCTCGAAGGCAAAGCACTGGCAGCCCCTCATCACTCCCGCCATTTTGGTTCGTTTCAGTTCTGTTCAAATGGCATATCGCCGACTTCCAGTCTAGAAGAGAAATCAACAGAATTCGTTCCCTCTCTCCCTCCTTCTCCCGATCATTTCTCTTTGTCATCCGGCGCTCTCCCGAGGCACTGCCCCATCGTTAGTGTGGAAGGGCCAAACTCTTCACGCTTCGCGAATCCTCGTCAGCCCACTCAACCCAGGCTTCGAACGCTATACGGAAGCGAAACGGCAATATCTCGCACTCATTGAAACAACAAGCGTGAATGATTGTGGCTTCTCGGGGGCATCCTAAACGGGTCTCCGTGGTCACTGAAAGCTGCCTTGAGGCAGTCTCGGGGCCTGTTGAAGGCAGGCAACAGGCCAGCCCGGGCCAACTTTGGTCGTCCTGCGCGATCTTGGAGGCCACCTTGGGCTGCCCAGGCCGCCCCGCAAGTTTGCTTTGTCCAAGCTGCCTGATCAGGACATTCGGGTCGGGCGAAAGGGGGGGGATAGCAAAGGGGGGGGTTGAGAATCAGCTCACGTAGCTGATTTTCCCGGCGCCTCCCGGCGCCGGGGGCGGATATGTATCGAGGAATGGGCCCCTCGGTGAGGCCGAAACGAGCTGCATGCAGCAAATTTCGTAACCCCCCCTTTCCCAATCCCCCCCTTTCGCCCGGCCCGAGACACGCATGGAGTTCCAGGCTGTGCAGGGGCCGCAGACACAGATCATGACAGGAAGCGGGACGTGCGAGGCCGAGCAGCGAGGCCTGGATGGGGCCCCAGGTAGGGCCCGGGGCGCCGGAAGGGGCCCCGAGAGGAGCCCGGCGAGCCACGGGAGAACCCACGCGGGGAGCTCCACGGCTTCTTTACGTCGGCGCCCAAGGACACACAAATAAATACACACAAATAAAATGATTCCCCACATTTTCCCATATGTTCTCAGCTTCTGTTTTCGCCCCCACTTCCCATATTTTCCCATATTTTCTTTGGGATCGACGATTAATTGTGACTGTGTGTTTTTTCTCTCCTGATTCTTTGCGTCGGCGGCTAGGCAGAGTTACTGCGCTGGCGATAGGTAGCGGGACGGGCATGCCGTTGAGCCAGTTGTGCCACCGTGCAGGGATAAGAGAAAAAGAACGAAGGGACGGCCGCAAGAGAGGGAGAGACAGAGCCGGGCCGCTCAGGGGGACGATCACGCCCCAAGCGTGTGGCGTGTGGCGCGGCAGGCCCTAAGCTCCACAGGAAGACCTGGTGGGGGAACTCTTGGGGGAGCCCCAGGTGACCACCGCTGGAAACCCACAGATGCGCAGAGACATCTGAGCAACAGGAGACCCTGAGATTCTGGCGTCGCAACTTTTTCACAATGCGCGTGTTCCCCCATTTTGGGGCCCAGAGGCCCTCACCGATCGAACCGGCTCGAAAAATGACGCAATGATGGGGTCCAGGGCTCCGGTCGATATGTTTTGCGATGTTGCAATTTTTCGCAACGTCGGATCTCAGGGGGAACCCTTGGGGAAGCCCCAGGGGAGCACCGCTAGAAACCCAGAGGTGCGGGAGACATCTGAGTAACCAGAGGTATTGATCAAAAAGTCCAGTAACGGCCGCTGTGTTGGAACTCGTGTTTTTAACGGCACGTGGGTCCTGCGAGAGCGGATGAAAGCCACGACTAAGCAAATCCGCAGACCCAGGCTTGCCATGAATGACAAATCGCGTGAGATGGTTGGCTGTTCCCCTCTCCCCTTCCGCCTGTCCCCCTTTTCACGGCAGGCCCGAACTTGGTAGGAAAAAACTGGAACGACACCCAGCGGAAAGTGTTGTCCGACATCGACATTGGGTTCTGTTGGGCAGGCGCCACTTTCTCTCGACTCTCGAACAGACAACGTCCGCAGAAACGCTGACAGCGAATCCTGTCCTAAGTGGGCAGGAAGGGCTGTCGGTGTTCGTCTCCTGCGTTTCTGCTCTCGCATCTATCCCCCATGCCCTCTCCACGCGCACAGGGAGCCCCAGCCGCTGCCCCATGCCGCCCACCGCCCGGCGCGCGATCTTGGGCCAGCCTCGCCCGCTGGCGTCGGCCGCCTGGCCGCGGTCCCGCGCCCTCTGGCGTGGGGCGAGCCCCTGTCGCCCGTTTACGTCTACGCCCGTCGGGGCCAGTGGCATGTCGCCGCCTGTTGCCAGGCCAAATTGCCGGGCACAGCACGCGGACCTCCAGCTGAGTCAACTCTGCGACCGACACATGGGACTGGTGCACGTGCACCACCGCCTCTGGCGAGGCCCCCTGCGAAGGCGGCGGGCGCAGCAGACTCTACAACCAGAGAGCAGGGTCCCAACGGCGCGACTGTGCCTCTGGCTGACCAGCAAACGTCACCACCATCTGCGGCCATTGGCGCCCTTTTGTTTGCAGGACTTGTTGACAAGAAGGTGTGGCCATCCAGCAAGTCCCAGACCTGAGGCCTGCATGGCAATGTGACAGAAGGCGTGCCCCACAACGGGGACGCCCAGCATGTATTACGCGTGTTCGGCAGACTTGGAACGAGATGCCTGGCATGACCAGCTAGGTTAAGGCTAGTAAGGGTTGCCTCTGTCAGGGATGTAGACCACCTGAGCAGGGCCCATGGCAGGAGCGGGTCGAGCGCCGGACCGAACGTGACTCCAGCACTTTGGCGGGTATTGGCACTGACCTCGTTTCCGGCTCGACCTCCGAATGCAGTGTTGGCGCGTCGCTATGCACGCATTGTGGCAAGGAGGTACCGCTGGCCCATCATATTCGAGCTAGCGCATGGCAGTGCGGTGACTGCCGCAGGTCTCCCGACGGAAGTCCCCCGTGCGAGCCGAGTGCGAGCAACCCACGTGGGATGGCTTCCCTGGCGCGAAGCAGCAGTGCGCCTGGAATTCGCCTGCGACGGACACAACCCATCTGCACTAAGCGACAAGAAGAGCTAGCCCGTATTAGTTTGGCAGATGTCAACACAGGATCTGTCATTGGTTGTGCAAGCTAAGTGGGACGCGCGAAAAAACGAAACGCATAATTTGCCAGGCGAGTGACCCAACCATAGGCAGTTCTGAATAACGCACTTGTGAGTATCGTATACGGTGGAGCTCTCCATGGGGCCACGAAACGTTCGAAGAATGTACCGAAATGGGCGCGGTAGTGCGCATGCGAACGCAGCCACTGGGGCCTTCGCTGGAGTTCCGTATGGGGCCGCGGAACATGTGCGGTGCGTGCCGAAATCACTGCAATGGGCGCATGCGAACGCAGCCCTAACGGCTTTCGGCGGAGCTCCATACGGGGCTACGAAACGTGTGACGGGTGCATCGACATGGGCGCGGTGGGCGCATGCGAACGCAGCCACTCGGCCCTTCGGTGGAGCTTCCTATGGGGCCACGAGTGTGCCAACATGAGAACGCAGCCAGTGGGGGCCTTCGGTGTAGTTCCCTATAGGGACACGACACGAGTAAGTGGAAGGCCGACAATGGGCGAGGCAGACACATGCGAACACTGCCACTGGGGCCTTTGGTGGCACCTCCCCCGGGGCAGCGATACGCGCGAGAAGTATGCCGACATAGGCGGAGTGGGCGCATGCGAACACCGCCGCGGGGGGGCTGGAAATAGAACAGAAGGACGCTCCGAAAGGCTCACTCACTGGGGCGTCGCATGGCCAGCCTGCCGCTGTCGTGCCACCCGTTACACGTCGCACAATAAGGGCTCTGAACGCCCATCGGCGATGGGGGCCTCTGGAGCGGGGCGGCGCGTTTCCCCGGAAGTGCGGCCGTCGTCACGCTCAGACTCCCGGAGCGGCCTGGTCCTGCGCCACTCGGCACACGCCGCCTGAAAGGCGTTCTGTGTCCACGGCATAGGATGCCGCCATGGCTGACAAAACATGCTCGGCTGGTACGGAAATTACATATGATCGCGGCCCCCGTCCTCAGGAACCGGACGCGAGGGCCGGAGGCGAGCGCAAAAACCCTGCGCCGTGACGCCATGTTGAACATTCCTGATGACATGTTGGCACGAACACTGCTACGATATGACCGGCGTTGCCACTTGTGTTTCACGGAATGTCCAGGGCGGCAACTTGCTGTGTAATGGCGTCCGGATCAGTCCATTTAGGTTACGAAGTGCATCCGACTCGATTCGGTTCCTTCTGGTTCGGATCGGTTCGGTCCGTCACATTTCTGTTTCCCGCTCCGTCCAATTCCTGTTCCGCTTCGGTCCGGTTCCTGTTTCTGCCAAGTCGCCGCGGGGTCCGCAAGGCGAGTTCTGTGTTTGTCGAAAAAAAAGCAAAGGGGAACCACGGGGATCACGGGGGTCGTCGACGAGCCCCGCGGGGGGGAGACTTCACGTCACGGGGGTACAAGGGGGCCCGCAAGGGGGGGGGATCACAGGGGTCATAGGGTCCACGCGGGGGATAGGGCCCCGCGGGCGAGGGGTCACGGGGGTCGCACTCTGCACTTTTCTGGGGCGCATGTTCAATACAACGGCGTCACGTGCACCCATAGATGCAGCAGCATCGGAAGTATCAGCCTAGGGAAGCAAGAAACCTGAAATCTGTCTGCTAGTCGAGATATGACCGAAAAGCTTCTCGCACTCTCGATCTTGTTGGGGGGAACGTTCGGTTTTTCGACTGGGAACCGGCGGTGAACTGTCAACCCAGGTTACCGCAGGGAACCTCGTAGAGCTCCTTGCACGCGCGAGAATGCCCTAAGTGCAACGAGAAAGTTCCATGGAGGATCAGCTTCAAAACTCGGGGGGGGGGAAAGAAAAAAAAACAACAACCAAAAAAACAAACAACAAAAAAAAAAAAAAAAAAAAAACGTCTTCTCCGCTCAACAGAAAGATTTTCTATATTGGTATACATATGTATGTGTATATATATATATATATATATATGATATGAACAATAATAATACTAGAAATAATACGACTAATAATAGTAATAGTAATAGTAATGATGGTGATACTAATACAAATAACAATAATAAGGGTAAACATGGTTCCGCCAAGTGTTTTG